TCTTTTTTGTACTTTTAACAATAATACAGCATATTTGCAATTCGCCTACATGAGATTCTACTTGGGGGCTTTCTGGCCTTATTTGTACTAACATTTCAAGCTTTCCTGTGCAAATCTAAAGACTGGAAATACAAAGGAGCACAACAGAGACAGGACCAAGGCATGAAAGAGGAGGGGAATAACGAAAGGTAAGGACCAGAAGAGGTATGAAGCAGAGGACAGAAGTAGAAGGGCAAGGGAGAGAGCAGGTGGAGAGGGGTCAGACTAACTGCAGTGAGGGACCAGGCTAGAAACGTACACTAGTAGGTCTTTGCTGGAGATTTTGGGGGAGAGCTCAGAAATCTGAAGGAAAACCATCTCCATGTTTGGCACTTTTGTGAAGCTGTAGCATAGGGGTGAAGCTAACAGTAGCCCTTGAAACACACATGCCTTTCTGTTTTAATTCATCTCAGTTCTGCTTTCCAAGAGACGTCCAGTTTTAACATCCTGGAAAAGGCCCTCTGAATTTTATCTCAGTGCACTTTGTCCTGCCTATTTAATGTAGATATCCTAAACATTTCATTTGTATTTTCATTCAAGAATATTTCCATTCAAGCCTTGCTTTCCAGCACTTTCAGCTTTAATTAACCTCACAGTTTAGCTTTGACATAGATTTCCATGAACATAGCTTTGCACAGAGTAAGGAGGTCAACATGTGGCTTTTGCAGTGGACTACACCTGAGCCCAAAAGGTGCTCCAGGCTTATCAATTTTGTCATGAGTACTGCATGTCCTGTGCTCCCCAGCCTCTGTGTGGCAAATTTCACAAGGATAGACTTGAAGCCAGACACAAGTTTCCCCACAGAGCTGAAGAGAAATTAAAAAAGTTGGCTGCACAGTTAAGTTCAGCACTGTGAGGGGGCTGGGAGAGTGCACTTCATTGTTTTTACCATAAAAAAAATGTGTGAAATGGCACTAGAAGACAGTTGGCACCTGCATCTCTTCTTTTAAATTGAATAAACAGGGAAACTAAATTTTAATGGTTATTCTAGCCCAAAGTGCTAATTTGAAATTTAAGAGAGTAGCTATTGTATAAAAGTTATATGGGGAAACTTAATCCAGTTAATTTGGTGAGGCTCCTTCGAATGTTTAAGGCAAAACTCAAGAAGGGTAAGAAAAGAAAATGTACCTTTTTTCACACATTGGAGTAGGTTGTGCATTTCCACCTAACAAACAAAATACTTTAAAAAACAATGGCTTGATTCACAAGCCATTGGTTTTTTTGATTAGTGGGGTAGATCTGGCTGATGTATCACCAGCAGGGACTAAGGCCAGGAGCTGTTTAATCCTTTGAGGGAAGGAGTGCCAGCAAGGGCGGCTGCCAAGGACTCCCCAGTGTCCTGTGCTGAGCACACGCAATGCCCAGCACCATCCCCGGTGCTCACTCAGTCAGCATGGCCACGTGCTGAACTGGGATAAGGCTGAAAACCACCCCATTCTGTCATGTGATTGATGTCCTTAGGGAGACAAGGTGAGCTTATTTACTGCGTAGTCTTGCAACTTCCTTCCTCTCAATTTTATTTCTAAGTGACTCTTTGAGCTAAAGGTGCAGAAAATCCTGCTATTGAGAAATACCCTGCTGCGCAGCTCATCCGATGAAGTGAAAGAGATAGCAATGGTGTGAACAGTGCCACCAGGTCATCACACTCAGGAAAGCCTCTTAAGAGGGACCACAGGCTGCCTCTCCATCCACATACCATGTTTTTAACTGGAAGGAATAACATGCCTCAACCCAAAAGAATGCTGGGGCAAGTATTTCCTTTCTGAAGATATGTTAAATAAGAAAGAAAGAGAGCAGATGCCTTCCAAAGTCTGTACTGGTATATAAAGAAGGCATGGACCCTGGGGTAGGCTTTGCTCAACACTCATGTAGACCCTTACAATGGTGAGAGACATTGGGCAGGTGTGGCTACATCCCACCATCTCCCAGAGATCCCTCAAGGCAGATCTCACAGGTTTCTCTTGTTCTTCTGACAGATGTTTTCAATGGACTTCTCCTCAAGAGGGAGAACCCTGGCTTAACACATGCTGCTCTTTACGATTTGGTAAAGAGCAAGGACAGGAGCAACATCTGTGTCGAGATATTTGCTGAGGGAAGGACAACAGACGATAGCCAGGGAAGTGGTTTTAGGGCAGGTGACAACATCAGGAGACAAGTATTTGCTTCCTGGGAATACCTGTAATTATCAGACTGCTAATAGAAAACTAAAAATAGTGGCACCTAATATCTATCCCATCAAGTGCCACTACAACACTTCCACACACCTCTCTTACCTTGTGTGGCATTCAGATAATGTGCAAAGGTCTGGCACAGCCTTTCCCCAACTTCATTTCTCCTCTTCAAATCTCCTAAAATCTCTTTATTTCTTAGCTGGATTCCAGGGCCTGCCTCTCCAGATCGGTTTTGTGCTATGCTAATCCCTATTCTCCAAGTAGCTCATTCCACATTTAGGAACAAAAATTCCCAGGAACTAAAGCAAACCTCAGCAATGCAATACAAAAAACCATAACCTTTGAACAGAGTAGAAGGGAAGAGATAGATTGTGTGAGAGGGCACTGTGAATCCCAGAACCCTTATTCTTTCTCTTGTGCCAGCACCAGTGATGATAACTGCATCCCCCACTGTCCTCCACCTCTTTCCTTGTTGCTAGCAAACCCATCATCTCACTCTTCCTCCTCAGCTGGTGGCTGACAGCCAAGAAAATAATGAGTCCTGACTGAGGCCAGTATTTGCACTCGCCAGCAACCAGAGACAGTGTGATAATGAAAAAAATGCTTTCTGCCTACTATGGTCTAGTTTTGAGCGATGCTGCAAGCCATCAGACACACACCACACAGCAGGGACTCTTCAGTTGGCTGTGGGGAAAGATTTACAAAGCTGCTTATTTGGGGTACGAAAGTTCTGTGGCAGTTAACCTGTGCGCCTGGGTGTCAGGCTGTCCTGGACACCAGTGGCTTATCTGTTTCACTCATAAAACTTTGCATCAAAAATGTCCAAGTCCCCAGGCAACTGAAGTAGCAACCTGTAGGTCATAACATTTGTATAAATTGATTCAACAGGACTGAAAACAATATTTCTCTTTTTCTTTCAACTGCTGTTATTAGGAAGGACCTTGAATCCATCCCGCTGATTAGTGTATCAATGCCTTGTGCAGCAGCCAGAGGCACTACATACACGTGGAGGAGAAGGAGAAATTCCTGAAAGGAGGTCAAACTGCCTGGTGCCCTTTTGGACTGTGTCAGCCTCAGTAAATCCCACTTTCTGTTGCTGTGGCCAGGGATGGAGTGGTGTGGGAGGCCCTGAGCAATGGCTCCTGGCAGTAGGATGCCAGAGAGCATCCAGGGCTGGGCACTGGAAAGGGGACATGAACCTCCCATTGCTGACAACTGAAGATGCACGTCCAAGCCCCAGTGCACACCCACTCCATTAGAACAACTGCCGACATTCAGCACAACTAACATCTCTGTGGGTTAGAAGGCTAAATAAATAAGAGATGAATAGCTACCGTGCATCACAGCCCTTTATCCTGGGAGAATCAGTGAACCTGAATTCCCCAAGAAAAGCAAGTAGGCTGCATCTGTGCCTGTGCTCTGATTAATCTCATTGGTTTGTTTTCCTGGAAACTAGATGTCCCAGATGCCATTGTTTCCATTATAAGTGTTCATCTGCCCTGTTTTGAGCTTGATTGCTCCTGTAGCCTGCTTAGCTTAACTGTTTTTTTATTTGTTTGTTGTTAGTGGTTTGTTTTTGTAAACTAACATTCTTAAACAAAATGTCACTAAATTAAAATGAGGACATAGCTGCAACCCTCAACACTAGATTTGTTAAATGTTTAAAAACACCTACAGCATACAGAAATCCTAAGCTGTTGTACTAAATCCTAAGCAGTGTGACTAAATTATTAATAGTTGCCATGCATATCACACAAAGATTTCAAAAGCCGACTTTGTGTTTCTGCAAAACACTGCTATTTTTGTCTGACAGTAAGAAACAAAATCATTTGAAAATTAATCTCTTTGGTACTAATCACAACTGTTTCTAAAACATTCCCAGTGTATGCATAATACAGTCATTTTTCATTTTTGAGAGAATTAGACATTTCATTCATTATCTCAATGAATATCTTGAAAGTTTACAATTTGTTAAAATACAAACAACACATTATTAATGAAAACATAGTGAAACAAATATCTATTTCTAGTCATAAATGCTCCGCTAATTAGTACAATAACATTCAGGCTCAGATTAAAGTAGTAACATTTACAGACGATACCATAGAAAATTTGTTTTATGGTTTGGGAAGACCAGCTATGGAGTCATTCAAGATAGGTTTTTAAAAAACATGAAGATACATGAATGGATTGATACAGTTAAATTTGCTTTACAGAAAAAATAACATTCTGCTGTGAGCAAAACAGAAATACGGGAAAATTCTCTTCTGTCTCAAGTGAATTATTTCTGGTGAAAGGCTTCTCAGCGTTTTGCTACAGGCATGCAGCTTTACACACAGAACATTATGCATGTACACAGACAGTGCTCTACTGGGGCTGTCTATCCTGATGCTCTCCCCTATACCCAGCTCCCCACAAGGCTATTTATAGGAAATAAAGGAAAAACACAGATTCGGAAATGGAAATAGACCCCAAACCAACAAACACCTAAAACATCGGCACAGAAAAACAAGTTGATAAGGGAAAAAGCAGCTTCACTCAGTACGTCTCAGCTGCTTCTAAAGCAGAAAGCAATGGGGACGTACTGCTATTATTAGTATTAGCCCTCTGGATGGAAGCAGCACGGTGTGAAGCTGTTGGCAAGAGGTTGCAGGATTTTCTTCGCACGTATGCACAGGCACAGACACACAGGCAGACAGACCCCCCAAAAGGCTCATGGCCAGCCCTTCCCGGACTCGGGACAGACAGACAGACAGAGAGCACGACACCGGCGCGACTGTGCGTACTCACAGCTCGGAGTACAAGAAGTGCAGGTTGCCCACATTGTCTATGTAGTTTGCAGGACTTAGCCAAGGTAGGACCAGTAACAGGAGAGCCTTCATTTTCAGGGCAGTGCTGGCACTGCTGTTAGGTTTCCTCCTTCCCACCGTCTCTCTGTGCTGGTGGGACACACAACGAGAAGCTTTCGTGCCAGCCAAGCCCCTTCTAAGCAAGCCTTTCCATTTCAACGCAATGGTAGCACATTATGAATCGAGCTTAAATCCCTTAAACGAAGCTACACTGCAAAAATCATTGACCTGTAAGAGGATTACTCGATCTGACTCTCGGATGGGTAGATGTGAGGGTTTAGGGACAGCACAGCGTGGTTGGCGAGACAGTGACTTATGCTGCAGAGAGCGATGCTCGGGGAAGAGACCTGCCTCCTGCAGGATTCAGAGTGGTTCTTCAGAGGCAGCTGGTATGTTTACATCACTGCCCACAAGCAGATGGGTTACGAGCTAAACTGCATCACGGAAGGGTGTAGCTGTCTGACAAGAGGGGGAAAAAATGCCCCCTGTGGAGTTTTGTAGCAGGCGATATCAGAAGACCACACCTTTTTAAAGTAAAACACTGCAAAAGATCACAGCCAACTGCTGGCTGTTTGCATCTCAGTCTGAATTCCCCAAATCCAGTCAGATGTTTTTGTACAAACATAAATCATGTAATAATCCAAGGACAAGTCTCTTCAAAGGGTTTTTTGAAGGATGCAAGAGCAAACATTTTAAATAAGGATGCTTTCAGTGGACTGCTCCATGGTAACCGGTGTTTAAAAAAAAACGGTAAAGTTCTCTCATCAATTACAAAGCATAAAACAGCAAGCTCACCTTGTCCCATCAGTGACCTCATCTCTGATCAGGGCAAACTCTCGTTTTCTCTCTGAGAACCAGGACTGGTCTGAACCTGAATAATGCAAGTAATGTGAGGACTGCTGACCACCCTGGTGACTCTAGCAGAGTTTAATTTATTCACTAAGAACACAATAATATTCTGTGAAGGGCACTGAACTGTTCTAACTGCAGACACCAAATATTTATTATTATTATTGTATTTGTTTTATTAGCAAAATCACACATTTCCCCTTCTCTCTATTGATTCACCAGAGTTAAAGAGAAAGCATCAGCTCAGTCTGTTTAATCTGTCCCTGGGCATGACAGAGCACAACATTCTTCTCTTTGCCATTAATTGGAGATGGTTGGCAAGAGAGGTTTCTGCATTTCCAACAATTAAATTAGGCAGAGGCATAAGATACCTTAGGTGATAATTAATTAATGCTGTGCTTAAAAAAACAAAGGTACTGTGCGGTGTCTGCAAGCACAAGGATGTAGAAGTGCACCTTTAGGGATCACTCAGAATTTCCCTCCTATTTCTTCCCTCAAGTGGGAATGCTAGTGAGGTTGCAGTACCTATCCCCTGTAAAGCTGAAACTCCCAACATTAGAAGTTCCCTGTGGTTTCCTATTCTCCTGTCTCTGCCCTTTGGCCTTAAGGTAACTCAGCACTCTCAACCATTCTGAGGAAGGAAAATCCATGTCATGAGGAGCAAATAAGCAAAATGTCCAGCCTGTAGCAATGCTTTGTACTTCACTAGAGGCTTTAGGGTAGGAAGACCCTACTCCATCTCTCCAGTCTTCTGCTCCTGGGGTTTGCAAACCTGGGACTGGCAGAGGGAACCTGACACTGGGAAGAGGGAACAGCCAGAGATTGGGGGAATACATTACCAAGACAATTCTTTCTATCTCTGCTTGGGCTCAGGCCAAGCAAGCCAGAAGCACAGGATCCTGAAGATCCTTAGGGGGGAAATCCAGTGGCCAAGCCACTGACATTCAACAGTATGCTCTAGACTAAAACCTTCCAAGCCTTTACAGGGCCAAATCAATGTTTATAGCACTGCAATTCTGTAAGATATGTAGTGAAGGGTATCTTTACTACCACCTTAAGGAAAAGAAACTAAGATATTGGAGTGACTTGCATATATCCACGTAGGAGAATCAACACTAGAAATCAGAAGTTGTGCTAGCTCTGTGGCTTCCATGTAAAAAACAATATTCCAGTTTGCTTATTTATTGGGGGTTGGGGGTAAATTGGGAATGGGTGTCCTGTTAATTTTATGGCCATAGCATCATCATGTCAAAAAAATTGCAGACAAACAGGAACGTCTAAATCACATTACGTTCAGCTATATGTATAGCAAAGGGAAAGGGCATATGCACTAGGGGTTCAAGACTTTGTGGTTTGAGTCTGTAGAGAAACATAATTTCAGTGACAGCAGCTCCCAGAAGACAGACAGTCCCCTTACCAGCATTTCTGTTGAAATTAACATGTGAGGCCTATTAGAGAAGTACTGGCCTAAGACAGAAAGCTATGAGTAACTTTGTTATTTTGTCCCCTTAGCCATGCACAGTGGAACTCCCAGAGCTCTGCTGGCCTGGGCTGGAGCCTGCTGCCACTGCCTATTGCACCATGAGCCAGAAGCACTCTCACAGGGAAAGCCAGGTCCAGAAATGTGGGGACAAGGGCACCCAAATCCAGAAACATCAAACCTTCAGCATGTGAAAAGTGCTCTCATGACCTTTGCAAGGGATCAATAAACCCATTGTTAGAGTTTGTGGGTTTTCTTGGGTTTAGTAATGCAAAATCATCATATTTTTGGTTGTATAGGACACCATAACTTCGTGAATATCTTCAAGTGAATAAATTCCTACTGAGAATCCAGGTGCTTCAGGAAGTCTGGTCTCCATTGCAAATAAGGACATGTTTTTTGAATGGTAGGCTGCAAAGCCCTTTCTGGTTGTGGGTTTGCAGACTGTGAAGTGTGCAGTATGTGAACACACCTCCACCCTCTGGCTCACCAGCCTGCTCAGCAGCTATATACTGCCCAAATGTGCCCCAATACTGCCATGTCTGTGCAGGAATGTGCCCCCAGCAGTCTGGAGCCCTATGCTGGCTGCTCAAGGCTTCCTGCACATTGTACGTGCAGAAGAACACACCTAGCAACACAATTTACACCTGCAAACTTCAGGGGAAGTAATTTCACTGGGCAACAGATACAGCTCACAGAAATGGGCACATCTTAGACCCCATCTCTCCTCAGACCTGAGGTGCTGTTATGCAGACTATGCCAAAAGTGTTAGTCTGCTGTAAGAAATCACCTCTTCACCTTTCTGCCTTCCTTACAAAAGGCAGAACCTGCAAGATGAAAGCAGCAGCGCAAGCTTTTACTCAGCAAAACAGAGAATCATTCAGTTCTCTTATTGCAGAGGAACCAAACTGCTCCCTGGAGAGGTCTCTCCCAGAGGCAGGATGGAGGTGTCCTGGCTACCAGGAGGGATAAGGCTGGAGGGGGACTCCAGCCAGGCTTCCAGACTCTGTGTCTCTGTGAGCCCCATGGTGCCCTGGGTAAATGCTCACCTGGAAGAAGGGAGCACTCGGGTTCAAAGACCAATACCAAACCGGAATATTTTCTGCTCTACTTCTCATTTAGGTCATTTGTGATTCAAAAAAGGTTTGAAGAAAGGGCAATTATAAAACCTTTAATGTACTATTAAAATATTTATAATACCTCAGCTTCCCAAAACACGCAGATCTCTTTGGACCACATACACATTGTCATTTTGTAGGTAACAACACGGTATTCTCACAGAACTGCTAATGATAGCATGAAGTACCTTACAGGCATTGATGCATTTGATTCTAAAAAAAAGAGTAAGATAGTCCTATATCTTGGACTATAAATGGACTAAATTCAGCTCTAAATTAATGATACTGTGTTCATTGGGAGTGAAATCAACAACTTTTTCTTTATGTTAACTGTCTATTTTGATCAGTATTAATTGAAGATATTTTTCCTCTACTCAAAAAATAAGAATGAAAAAGAATCTATCAACAACAACTTACTGAGTTTGGAAATGCTGTTCAAGGTGACCACGTTGCACAACCTCTGAGCAGTGTTCTGTGAAAGGGCAGCTAACCATTAGCTTATCCAGGAGGTTATTCACTAGTATGCTGGACTTCCTGCACGTCTGGAGAATCACAAGCTTGCGGTCCATGGGGCAGAAGTCTTTCTCCACAAGGAAGTTTGTAAGGCAGGCTGTGCAGAAGGTGTGACCACAGAGCGTGTCTAATGGCTGAAGCAAAGGTTGCAGGCAAATGTGGCATATCAGATCATCATCTACTTCTTCGGTGTAGCTGTACAAGTGGTTCTCTTCTGGTAAATGCGCTTGGCCGCAGGTGACACAGAGTGGAGGGGAGCTATCCTCCATTTCTTCTTCTTTCTGGCTCATAATCAGAATTGATGCAATTCAGAAGGGGGCAGGTGGGAATACCCAACCCGTTTTCTATTTGTGAGAGCTGTAGCAAGGCTTGTGTGCTGCCAGATCTGTGGGGATGAAAGCCAAAGGATTATGTTCTGGGTTGTGTTTTCTTACTGTATTTGCAGTAGATATCTGGATATGAAGTACTATATCAGGTATAAGGAAAGGATGGTGTCTTTGGGATGGGAGACTAAAGCAAAGAAGGGGGCAGAAAAAAAAAAGAGAGAATTAGTTCCAGGGACTTATTTTCTCATAAATCTAGCTTAATTTACACAGACACTCTCATTGTAAAGAAAGGTATCAAGATAGGGAGAAATACTACAGGCATGTAATGGCTGAAAACCTTAAGTTAGCATATAATTGCAGTTCCAGTCAGATGATTTTTGTGGCCACATTACTTCCACCAGAAAAGTAGCATTGTGTATGGGCAAACACTGCAAGACTGTGTACAGAAATACAGGTAAGAATAAAGGTTGCAGGCCAATTTGCCTGTTCAGCACAGCAAGGGAGAGCAGCAGCTTTACCTAATACACACAAGCATACAAACACGGTATTGTAGCCAGAGGGAAGACAATTTAGGTCATGAGAATTTAGAGCTTGGGGCCCTGTAGACCATTCTCATACTAGAGCAGCAATGGACCTGGACCCCTGTATTCAAAATTTGCCTGCCTGCAGTCAAGCAGTTATAACCATCTGCACCAGCATAATCAGTTCAAAACTTCATTTGCTCTGCAAAGAACCAAACACCTCACATACCAAAGTCCACGGCACAATGCTAAGTAGTGTATTGCTCAAAAGAAGGCCTATTCCCTTTATAATTTGTAATACAGAAACCCAGTATGTGCCTAACTACAAACCCAATTAGCTCTGGCTACAACACCTGCCTGCTGGTATTTTAAAGATGTAAACTCTGCGGGTGGCAGCAAAACCGAAAAGTAATTTGTAGTTTTTACTTGATGAACCCCAACTGGTTGTTGAAGCAGTTATGTCTCATTACTTCTATGCTTATTTTGATATACCACTCTGAAAATAAACATGAAGTTATAAAATATGCAATGGCCTAATTACTGCTCTTGCTTGAAAATGTAAATTTTATTTGCTGCTCTGCCTTAGCACTGTACCCTTGCTTTCAGCTTGACTTAATTTGCTGAGACAATGTGTCAGCCTCAGACACCCATGTCTGAGGGCAAATGAGGGAAAGAATAATAAGAAAAATCTGACTATGACAGAGCATATTTTCATATAAATAAACCCTTATTTTTATGCAAAGCTCATGGGCTCTAAACCTGAGAAATTAAACTTTAACATGGCAGGTTTTTCTGACATGAAGGTAAAATAATAGCCCCACTAACAATAACCAGATGTTTAAATGTCAAACATTCTCTTCAATGTTTTGCTAGATCCTATTCTTATGAAGCAATTATGTTAAGTGCCTGTTTTTGCTTGCAAGTCAGAGTTCTGCATAAGCTCTGTCTCCTGATTAGCAGTAGCTTCACTGGAATTAAAATCATTGTCTGTTAGAAACCTTGGAAATATTTAAAATACACCAAACTGGGTCAAATGTCTCGTTTTGTAAAAATATTCACCAGAGCTTTATGAAAAGCTATTTGTGAAGAAACAAGCATCTCTCCATAGTGCAGGTAGCAGCTCCACCTGTTATCTTAACATAGGAATTATTTTTAAATTCTACTAAGGTGACACACAGCAAAATGAAAAGAGATAAAAAATTATCAGGGGCTGTGGTGAAGACTATTTGGGCACTGTGAGTGGCTCCTGTAGGAAGCTCTTGGATAACTTCTAAATGAAGTGAGGTGGCTGTGAGCGGGTGTCCAGCTGTCCACATCCCTTGCTCATGGGGGGAGCCCATCTCAAGTCAGCAGGACTGCTTTCAAGAAGGCAACACATGGCTTGGGAACCAGCATGATTCTTAAAATAGACATAAAATGAATTAAAACCAATAAAGGGTGACAAAAATAGCACTGTGCTATAAACTTTTCTCTTGCATTGTCAGAATGCTTTGCACCTGGGCCAGCCAGGAGTGTGGGCAGCATTGTGCTGTTTCTCCACTCCCCTGCCGTGTCCTCTTGTACCACCACCCACAGGTAGGTCCATGGGGTTGCTTGCCCCATGCACCACACACTAGAATACAGCCAAACTCCAGCATTTTGTTACCTCATGGACGTTCTCAAGGACAGAATTCTTGCTTCTTGCTGGCAGGAGATCAAACACACAGCTCTCATCAGCCAACCTGAAAGCTAAAGCCAAAGTCCTGCTCTGAAGAAAGAGCAGCCCCGAGGGACGGGAACATGGGCATCTGAGCCCCACCTTCCCAACCTCATACCCTAACCCTGAAAGTACCCCTCCTCCACTTCCAGATGTACAACACAGCAAGACCCTGATACAAATTAGGTACAGTTGGAAACAGTACTACAGCTCTGAAGCTACTGCAATTATTTTCACAATGACAACAGAGAGAGGCATCACT